GAGTGTTAGGATGTTGTTTCCTTTTTTCTTTAACCTGCGATGTGGGGCCAGCCAACGGGCCATCCCGGGCGGAACGGGAGGTGCTGGGCTCCCGGCAGGGCCAGCTGGGGCCTCGCTGGAACCAGCTTGCCCCGGGGGGCCACCGTATCTGTGCAGCCGGGCGGCCGTCTGCTCACTGACGGGCTGGACACCAGCAGTGGCTGCCCCCGGGTGTGCTGAGGGCTGAGCCCCGGGTGGGGGCCTCGCAGTCACCTTCTGGCGTCCTCGGCTGGCTGCCACCCCCCCCCTTTGCAGACTCCTCCCCACCCCGTGGCAACCTTGCCTGCCTCTCAGGCCAAGGTAGGCCCTGGTCGCTGGGGCAGGGGACGGCCTCGGGGCCAGTCACGTTCTCTCCAGAGTCTCGGTCCCGGACAAGGTGGAGGGGGACAGTGACTCTCCAGGAAGCCGGGTTTGGGGAGCTGTGGGCAGGGCTGAGAGATGGCGAGTAAAGAGTGGCCACACTGGAGACCCACATTCGCCAGCCTCACACAGTCCCCCAGGAGGAGGGACGGCCCCCTGCCCTGGTCCTTCCCCAGCGAACCTGGGGCCTGGGCTTCCCCTCCCCCGTGCCATTGCCCTGCACAGACCTGGCCCAGATGTCATAGCGAGACACCCGTGCACTTCCTGGGTTCTTCTCTGTCCTGGAGGTGGCCTTACAGGTGCCATGGCTGGGCAGAACTCTGCTGGGGTCTCCAGGACGGGCCAGAGGGACAGAAAGTCAGGGCACAGCCTGCCTTGGTCAGTAGGGACTTGCACAGGGCGGGAGTCCAAGGCCTGGTGGCTGCGCATGACCGGGGACGATCCGACTCACCGCCCAGCGCGAAGGCAGCAGGCGTCTCTGCCCCCATCTGAGGCGGGGGTGTCTTTGTCACAGTGAGGACCCGTGGCTGTGTCTGGCGTCTGGCACCCAGGACCCTGACCTCCTGGGGCCCTCAGCTGGCCCCTCCTCACACCCCTCGAGTATGTTATTGGACTGGTGGCTCCTCTTTTGGGAATGACTTCCGGTTGGCTCCCAAGCCGCTGGGCACCAGCCCCTCAGCAGAACGCGGGAGACCTACGGTTTTCCTCTCCATAAATACTCAGGGTCTGGTAGGATGATGGGTTCGTCCCCCACCTTTAGATTTTTCTGATCTGCCCGAATTCTTCGCGATGGCAATGTATCGCTCTTATGATAAAAATGTTATTTAAAATAAAATAAAAAGCAGAGTCCAGTCCTCTGTTAAAAAGCTGGGTTTGCAGAGAACTTTTTGCAAGAGTGTCTCATCATTAAAAGCCGGTTTCTGGGTGTGGGAAGTGTGGAAAGGACAGAAGAGAGGGGCTGTGGGCACCGAGGGCGCTGGGGGCCGCACTGTCCTCACAGGTGCTGTCAGGGCCGGAGCTCAGGGCTCCTGGGGACTGGGGCCGCCGCCCCAGGTGGCCCCTGCCCCCACCCACCGGGAGGTACAGGAAGGAGGACATCTTGCTCCTCCCGCATCCTGGAGCAGACTCTCGCCATGTGCCCCGTCTCTGGTGACCTGGCCGGCTGCAGCCTTGGAGGTCAGAGGCAGGGCTGAGGTCCGCCCCGACCCCGGAGCGTGACGTCGACCGGAGGTCTTTACAGAGAGCATCTTGGGGTGCGTGGGTGTCAGGTCTGCCTTGGACAGCGATGGGGTCCAGTTCACTCTTGTAGAGCTGCGAGAACCTTCCGGGATGCCGGAAGGTAGCCCAGAGGAGCCCAAGGCCAGAGGCCTGGAGACCCAGAGCAGGGCCCTTTGGGAACACTCCCTTCGCAAGGGGAACCATGCCTTGGCTGATGTGTTCTTTAAAACAAACATTTAACAATAAAAATGAAGAATGTATTTCAACCTTAAAGCTACAACTCAAATTCAGGGAAACACTTAACGTGCGAAGTAACACCTGCCGGGAAACGGTTCGCCTCACGGTTCGCGGTAGGTTTTCACTGTGCCTTTTAACCAGGCGGTGAGGGCACCCGCGGAGGCCCAACGACCGAAATAACTCCAGGTCTGAGTCTTTGTGTGGGCGATCATGGCTGATGTGGACTCTTCTGTTGAGGCACGGAGATACGTCCAACCGCAGAGGTCGGAGGCAGGAACCGGCCCCTGGGAGCCTGACCGGTTTGCGACCTTGGAAACCGGCTCCACGGCCAACGCCAGCGCCGCCTGCCGGGGGACCAGGGGTTCCTGGGCTGGTTTTCGTGCATGCCTGTCTCACGGCCCGGAGCCTGCAGCCCGAGGCCCAGGCGGGGACAGGCAGCTTGTCCCTGGGCGTGTGCACGTCCCCTCCTTGGGTCCTCAGTGCATGGCCAACGGCTCCTGTCGCCACTGAGGCTTGGAAGCGACCTCTTCAGGGTCACCCAAGGAGGACTCCAGGCCCAGAATAAAAGGGTCCTCTTTTCCCAGAATCCGGGTTCCTGAGGGGCTGTGCCGAGGCGGGGGGGGGGGGGGCGGGCGGGTGAGGCGGGGGTGAATTTGCACACACGTGCGCGACACGGCTGGTCCTCGTCGCTTCCGATCCCGAAGCCTCGGTGCCGCCTCACGCTGAAGGCCACCGCTCGGGGCCCGGCCGGCTCTGCGTCCCGTGCCCCATGGAGGTCTCTGCTCCTGTCGGCTGCCGCGCATAGGATTCCAGACCCCGGAAGGCGCAGTTGTGCAAGGCATGTGTGCGCCCAGGCACCTGTGTGAGTCTGAAGGATCTTGGGGGACCCTCAGCCTCCCTGCGCCGCGTGGCCCAGGGGAGGGGGCTGTGCTCAGACGCCACTGCCTCTATCTCTGCCTGCAGGTGCAGAAGTTTCCACCGACCCCACGGAAGCCACGGGCTGGGTGAGGAGAGTGAGGCCCTCCCCTGGGCGACAGGGTCGGGGGGGCACCAGAAACAGGGTCATTGGGATGAATCATTTCTTTTTTTCTTCTTTTTTTTTTTTCTGATATTGAACTAGAAGTGGCCTGAGAGTGAGAAGATTTTATAGATTTTTTTAAACGTTTTATTTTTATTTTTGAGACAGAGAGAGACAGAGCATGAACGGGGCAGGGACAGAGAGAGAGGGAGACACAGAATCGGAAGCAGGCTCCAGGCTCTGAGCCATCAGCCCAGAGCCCCGACGCGGCGCTCAAACTCGCAGACCGCGAGATCGTGACCTGAGCTGAAGTCGGATGCTCAACGACTGAGCCACCCAGGCACCCCATGGGATGAATCATTTCTTAACGCGGTGTTTTAAACAATCAAAACGAATGCACAAAATCAGCGACGAACAAAATACCAACATTTGAACGAAGGCAGATCTGTCGGAAGCTCCACTGTTCCTTCCTTGTCAAACCACTGCCCACCCGCCTGGCCCTGCTGGTCCCCCCCCCCCCCCGGAGGACTCAGCCGGAGGGACACTCGTGGCACCGGGAGGAGTCAGCCGGCGCTGTGTGGAGCCACCCACTGCCCCCGCCCCACGGCCCGGCCAGGCGAGTGGCCTGAAGTGAAACCCCCTCCCCTTCCTCCGAACCGAGTGACTGGGCACACAGCCCGCCCTTCTAAACTCCACTTCTCTGGTTTCCGCAGTTGGGGGGGGGGGGGGGGGGTATGGAGACTTACATGCCGTGTAGGGTGGCCGCAAGGAGACCGGCAGAGGGTGGCCCAGAGCGGGCCTGGGGCAGGGAGGGGGCCCTCCGCCCCCCCCAGCATTGATGATCTCCCCCCTAATTTGGTCTTTGTTGCCCGACACCAGGGGAATTGCTCCCTCGAATCATCCTTGCAGGGCACAGGTTGGCCTTTCCAGGTTTTTCAGGGCCCTTTACCACCCGTCTGGGGCCATGCGCACAGCAGGTGCTGAGAAGTGGGGGGAGGAAGGCTCTGACACGGGACACGGCTGGTCAGGAAGGAGCATGCGCGAGGGACGCTCTGAAGTCCCCACGTTCGACGCCTAGGCCGTCTCAGTTGTGTCCGACACAACCCTCCTTAAGTGCCGGGTAAGTGCCCTTCCGTGGCCCCTGTGCACACGGGTGAGAGGCTGTGCTGGGAAGCAGAGGTATAAGGACAAATAAGAAGCTTCTCGGGTCCAGACTGTGCGGCGAGGAGCTGGCTCGGGAGGGGCCGGGAGCAGGCTCTTCCCTGCCCTGCGGGGGCCGCACGTTACTATAGCGCTCCCGGGAGGCCGAACTGCTGAGGGGCAGCAAGCACCTTAAACGTGGGGGCGTGGGAGGGCCCTGTCCTGGGGGGGCTGGTCCCCTCGGAGCAACAGCCAGCCAGGGCCACAGCGGGAGGAGCGAAACCGTCCCCAGGCCTGGCGGACGACAGCCCCGATGCGCGGCCTTGTCACAGCGACAAGTTCGCAGGGATGATGTCCACGGAGAGGAGCCCAGGGCACAGGGTTCCCACCCTTGTAAAACCAAACCTGCCTCCCTATCTGGACACACACAGACCCCCCGTCACCACGCCCCCACCCCTGCCACCAGGGGGGACCCGGAAATTACAGGCACTTTTTAGTTTCTTCCTGGTATTTTCTGTCTTTCTTGAGATTTTTACGACCGTGTATACGTTTTGCAATCAGAAAGAAGCAACAGAGGTAATTCTGTTTTGAAAAGTGAGGTACTCTCCCCGCAGTAGCTGTGAGATTTGGGGATCATGTAGGTGGCCTCTGAGCCCACGCCTCGTCCGTGAAGTGGGTATGAGCCCCCACTCACGGGGTGGCCGTGGGATCAGCCAGGCCACGTAAGCTGGAGGCGTCCCCGACGCAGTAGTGGGAGATGAGTCCTCACCGTCCCCCAGGTGAGTGTGGGGACAGAGCCAGAGGGCGGCTCCTGGAGTCCAGGGCTCCGCGCGGGTCAGGGCCTCAGTGCCCGGGGCTGGGAGCGGCGGGCGCGTAGCCCAGGCCACGTTTCTGCTGACCCGGCAGCCTTCCTCCTGAGCTCACACTTTCCAGACAAATCCCCCTAATGCTTCTATTCTGTCGCCGGCGCATATAAGGAGGGCTCACCTCCCAGTTCTCCACCGCACTGCCCAGAGGCCCCTGCCTGACTCCCCACCAGCCCCGGGTCCCTGCATCGCCGACGCCCGCCATGGACATCGCCATCCAGCACCCCTGGTTCAAACGTGCGCTGGGCCCCTTCTACCCCAGCCGGCTGTTTGACCAGTTTTTCGGCGAGGGTCTCTTCGAGTACGACCTGCTGCCCTTCCTGTCCTCCACCATCAGCCCCTATTACCGCCAGTCCCTGTTCCGCACCGTGCTGGACTCCGGCATCTCCGAGGTAAGACCTGGCCGGGGGCTGCTTTCTCCCGCTGGCCGCGGCCGGAGGAGCAGGGGGAGCACGGTGCTCCGTGTGGAGCCGCGCCTCGCCTCGGGCCTCCGAGGAGGGGTCTGGAGAGGGAGCCGGAGCCCAGCCCCGTCTCGTCCTCTATCAGCCCGTGACCCACGTGCGCTTTGTGATGCACCAGCCACACGATGGCGGCCCCGCGAGCAGGCCCACCGCGGCCGGTGTGATGGCCGGTGTGGGCTCTGTGCTCCGGGCTGTCCACCCTTCCCTTCCGGCAGGAAGCCTGGGCGGGTGCGCTGTGCCGCCCCGGGTCCCCAGGAGGGCCCCTCCCCCAGGACGGCCAGCACAGCCGCAGAGTGTGGTCTCTTTCCTGCCCGGGGCCGGGCCCAAAGGGAAGCGACCGCTGGCCTTCCCTCCCCGAGCCCCTGCGGTGGACCCCAGGGTCCCGGGGTCTCGAGGGGCTGGGTCTCCTTCACTGCCTAAAAGCAGAGGCCTGCCCAGGGCTGATGCGGCGCCCTCAGAAGCAAAAACAGCCTTGCTGATTGTCCCCGGGGAGCGCCGTCGGCGCAGGGGAGAGGGAAGCAGGTTGAGCAGCGAGCCCGGCAAGGCCGTCGGGTACATCACGCCTGTGGGAGAAGGCAGGCCCCGGGCTGTTTATGGAGAAACCAGGGAAGCCGAGGGCTGTGACTTTATTCAATGTGCTAGGTCCAACCAGTCAGCCAACCCCTGACCCGCCAGCCAGGCGACCCTTAACCAGCCTCCTAACCTGTAACCTGCCTGCCAACCGTAACCAGCCTCTCAGCTCATCACCAGCTAGGCATCAGCAGACACACGGTCTTGAGGCCGAGGGTCCACGCGGTCCCGAGTCAGGGGTCCCCGGGACTCTGTGCCGGGGGAAGGCGTATGTGTGGAAGGCGTTTCTGTGCTGACTGCCGGGGGACCGGCTCCGGCCAGCCCCGCCCAAACCGCAGAGGCCCACGGGAGCGTTTGGGTTTCAGGTCCGCTCCGACCGGGACAAGTTTGTCATCTTCCTGGACGTGAAGCACTTCTCCCCGGAGGACCTCACTGTGAAAGTGCTGGAGGACTTTGTGGAGATCCACGGCAAGCACAACGAGAGGCAGGTGGGTCTGAGGGGCCCCCGCCTTCCGGGGACCCTGCGCCCCAGGAGGGAGGGTGACTCTGCTCCCACATGCCCGCTTGTCCCAGAGCGCACAAGCAAGCCTTCTCCCAGCGACAGGGAGGCCGCTCCTGAACCCTGGCAGGTGAGGGGTCTGCAGGGACCCCCGCCCGGGTACCGCCCGGCTGCCCCTGGCTCCTTCCGAGCCGTGCCAGTGATGGGGTCGGAGCAGGGAGGATCCCGGGAAGCTCCGGGCACCGGGCGGGGGGGCGAGGAGCTCTGAGCCGACGTGGGTTCCATGGAAACCTAACTGTGGCGGGCAAGCCCTACAGTGCGGCCGGCAGCCATCGATGCCCCAAACGCTTGTGTGTTCACACGTTCACTTCTCGGCGGCCCTTTGTCATCGGCGCCCCCGTTATCGGGAGCCGGCAGGTGGCAGAGCCCGGCTCAGGGAGATCGGTGGCCCCACAGCTGGTTCAGGGTGGGGTGGCTGCTCACCTGGCAGAGACCAGGGTCAGAGACCAGGGTTTCCTCTCAATGGTCGGAGCAGTTGTGTGCGTGCGTGCGTGCGTGTGCGTGAACCCCAGACTCCGTGTCTCCTTCCCCCCAAGTACGGCGCTGTGGCCCAAGTGACTTGTTTCAGCGTGGAGACAGAAGTCGGGCCCAGGGGCTGGGACCAAGCTGTCCCGCCAAGGGGAGAGTTCTTTTGCTCAGGCCCCGCTGGGTGGAAAGCAGGCACCCTGAGCCTGTAGGGTGAAGGCCAAATGTGGTCCACGTGCAGGACTAGGACAGCCATTTGCGCGATTCTGGAGAGAAACGGGTCTGATGAGCCAGCTCCATGACCGTGAATGGCCCCAGGCTGTGCAGGGAGGCGGGGAGGCGGGGAGGCCGGCCGGCGGGGGGGGGGGGGGCGGGGGGCCTCAGCAGGAGCTCTCGACGTGGCCTTCTGGCTCCCACCGCACCGTGTGAGTGTGGCGGGTTTGGCCCTCGTGAGGTCCGGGAGGGCCTTCCCCGTGTCAGGCCCACGGCACCCCCGGCCCTGGCGTCTCTGACCGTGCCCTTCCCCGTCCCCCGCCCAGGACGACCATGGCTACATCTCCCGTGAGTTCCACCGCCGTTACCGTCTGCCTTCCAACGTGGACCAGTCGGCGCTCTCCTGCTCCCTGTCCGCGGACGGCATGCTGACCTTCTCTGGCCCCAAGATCCCGTCTGGCGTGGATGCTGGCCACAGCGAGAGAGCCATCCCCGTGTCGCGGGAGGAGAAGCCCAGCTCTGCGCCCTCGTCCTAAGCTCGGCCTCGGCCTCGGCTGCCACCGCTGCTGCCCCCACGGCCCATCGGTCTGGGGGAGCCCTAGAAAGTGGGGTGCTGGTCTCCATTTGCTTTCCTTCTTTCCATTTCCTTTTCCTTTCCTCTGAGGGAGCGAGGGTTTGGGGAGGGTAGCCTGGAGGGCTTGGGGCTTCCGCCTGCGGTGCCCCGGCCTCGGGGCCGCCCCGATCCCAGCACTGGCCGCCCGGTGGACGTGATCGCCTCCCCCGCTTCCTGACACGGCGGTGCCGTGCTCCCAGAGGAGGCCACCTCGGGACGACCTCTGGTCCCCAGGGCCAGCCAGGCACACCTTGACCCTGGGCGGCGGGCGCCCGTGTCACGGCCCGGCTGCGCGTCCTGCCCTTGTTCCCCGGGTGCCCCGAGGTCCGTCTGGCGGAGCCTCCCGTGCGCCTGGGCCCTCGGCAGCCTCTCCCCGACCGCGTTCCCCCCATCCTTCCTCTATGTAGCACCTCTCCCGGGGCACCCGACCACCCATGAGAATGCAGCCCGTGGCAGTCAATAAAGAGCAGGTGACACAAGCAATTTGCTGGCTGGTGGTCGTGCTGTCTCCCCCGGGGGGTGTGCGGGGCCGCATGACCTGTGGCACGGGTGCAGGGGTGGAACTGACGGGTGGGAAGGGCGCAGGGTCCACCCCGGCCGCCTCCAGGCGACCTGGTCACTTCCTGGCTCCCACTCCCCAGTGCCCCCCGGACCCCCGCTTGGTAGGGAGGAGGGGGTTTGTGTGGAGAACACCGAGGGAGGGGGAGGTGGGGGTGTGGAGAGAATCAGGACCCCCTTCTCTGTGGGACCCAGGGTGCCCGGTGGGGCAGTGCCATCTTGCCGCTCTCCTCCTCGGGGGGGCTTGTGTCCCGGCTCCCTGGGGGCCGCACTTGAAGGACCCTGGCCCCGTTGCTCCCCGAGGGGTGAGGAAGGGTGGTCAGGTGTGGTCCGAACTTGTGCACCTCTGCATGTGGGGGCGCCCCCGCTCACTGCCCCTCCTCATTGGAGTGGGCACGGGCGCCCTCGGGGAGCTTCTGGTGACCAGGGCACAGCGTCCTGGGCAGCCTCCCCCACCCTGTGTGGACGGCCGTCTCCCTGCCCGCCCTGGCAGTGGGAGGGTGGGCACGAGGCCCAGAGGCCCCCAGACTCCCCAGGGGAGGGGCCCCGAGGCTGCAGTGACCGCGGGGAGGGTCAGGTGCGTCTCTGGGAGCGGACGGCGAGCAGGTGCCGCGTCCTGATGGGCACTGCCGGTGTTAGGCTGCGTCACGGGGGAGTGGGGGCTGGGACACGGTCCTTGGGTGGCTCCCATACTCCTCCAAGAAGGTGGACACACAGGAGAATCTCCTGTGAAGTGGTCCCTGTTCAACACACACACACACACACACACACACTCAGACACACACGTATGCACCCACACAGGTGCCCGCAATGCACACACTCAGACACATGCACACACCCGCACAGTGCCTGCATGCACACACTGGCACACTCACCCACACAGGTGTGCACACGCACACACATTGCACACCCACACACGTGCGTACACACACTCAGACACAGGTGTACTCACCCACACAGTTGCGCGCACATGCACACATGGAGGCACATGCACACACGCATACACGTGCACACACGCACTGGCACACGCGTGCACACTCACCCACACAGTTGTGCACACGTGCGCGCACACTCACACACTGCACACGCACAGACGCATGCGTGCACACGCACACACCCA